TAGCACAGTGCCTGGCACATAGGGCTTGCTGAATAAATGCTTATTCCTTTTTATCCCCCTCATTTTGCATATGAGCATCTTGAAGATTAAGTGACTTCCCCAGGGCACACAGAGTCAGAGATAGGATTCCTAATTCTGTGCGTGCCTTGCTATGCTGTGAACTCTTGGAGGACAAGAACTCTGTTATTCATCTGTGTATGATATATTCAGAGCCTCCAGGCAGGCAATGTGGTGTAGTCTAAAGAGCACTATTTCTCGGGTCAGAGGAACTGGATTCAAATCCTATCTTTGATACTCATTAGCTGTATGAACTTTGGCAAGTCGCAACCTCCCTGGGCCTCCATTTTTTCATCTGTGAGATGGGAGGATTGGAGGATGATAACATCCTTTTCAGCTCAGTGTAATTCTATCATAGTAGATTGGAGGGGTTAAGCAGATTAAGCACAAAGTGGGTACCTAATAAGTATTTGTTTAAGCACATAGTGGGTACTTAATAAGTGTTTGTTGAATTGAATCGCAGTCAGAGAACAAGAGGGAATAGAAGTTTTATTCTCTCTGGCAGCATGAAGCATCTTTTCCCCCTCTTAGTTGAAATTCCCCTCTTTTCTATGCCTACTGTCTCTGTCTCAGTTTTTTTTTTTTTGAAATGAAATGTGTGGGAGGAATAAAGGAATGTTGAACAGAGATGGAAAATGCGGAGATAATGATTTCTGAAAGCAGGGATGAGGCCCAGATTCATTTGGGCACCTGAGCTCCAAGTCTCAGCCTTGACCTTGACTTCCATCTGTGGCTATAAGCAAGTGTCTTAATCTTAGCTTGCTTTTTCCCTTCAAGAAAAAATTGGGGACAGGATAAGGAATTAAATCTTTCCCTAGCGAGTACAGTTAGGGCAGGGGGAGTGAAAGAAAGAGATGATAGATTTATTAGCTTATGTCCATTTTTTTGTAGTGGCAGGCATTAATAATTATCTTTGAAAATCCCCAAGAAGCTTTATACCGCAGAACAGTAAAGAAAACAATCTCTGTTTGCTCCTTTTGGGGGGCAGGCTTTTTCTTAAGCAAATTTTTATCTTTAAATCCCTTGTTTGATCTGGGCCAACCAAATAGATTACTTATAAGAAATGAAACTGTTTAGAGTTCTAACCTCAGTAGCTTTAAGAAGAAAGCCGTGGAAAGACCCTAGAAGAGAGAATCCGGTTTAATGATAATAATTAATAATAATAAGAGCAGCTAACATTTATAAGGGACTTACTATGTGTCAGGGACTGTGCTGAGTACTTCAAAATTATCTCAGTTGATCCTCAAAACAACCCAGGGAGGTAGGATTTATTATTGTGTCTATTTTACAGAAGAGGAAACTGAGGCAAACAGAGGTTAAATGACTTACCTAGGTTACACAGCTAGTGTATAAGACCATATTTGAATTCAGATCTTCCTGACTCCAGGCCAGGTGCTCTATCCACTGTGCTGTTCACTCCAGGCTAGCTGCCTTTGAAAGAAGATGGGAATTAGTCCATGAGTATTTATTAAATGTCCTTAGTGTGCATATTGTTATTCTAGGGGAAGAGAAATGTTTTTTTCTTCACAAATACTACTTGATTAAAATTAAATTTGAAAGTATGAGTCTCATTTTGGAATTCAGAAAGATTTGCATTTCTGCACAATGGATTCACTGACTACCAGATGACTGTGGCTGTTGTCTTGGAGTTTCTTTTATTTTGATTAAACATCTATCTGCTCATCCTTTAAAAAAATTCGGTTTTATTCATGTCTTTTATTTTTATATCACATTGATTTCCTCACATATCCTTACCCCCTCCCATACCCAGTGAGCCATCCCTTGTAAGAAAGATTTAAAAAAAGAAGAGGAATAAAGCAGTTCAGCAACACCAATAAGCCAACCAGCACAAAATCGTTGTGACCTTTACAGGATCATAGCTGTAGAGCTAGTAGGAACTCAAAGGCTACCCAATCCCATCACTTCATTTTGTAAATGAATATAGTGGGCAGCTAGGTGGTATGCTAGATAGAGCACCAGCCCTGGGATCAGGAAGGCCTGAGTTCAAATCTGGCCTCAGATACTTACTGGCAGTGTGACCCTGAGCAAGTCATTTAACCCCGATGGCCTCAAGAAGAAAAATTTTTTTAAACGAATGCTGCAAGTATGAGAGATAGGATTCAGACCCCAAAGTCAGCGCTGCCTCCGAGTTGTTCTGATAGCTCAGGATTGTAATTCTTTCCCCATTTCCCTCCCTGCCCCCCACCCACCTCCACCCCTACTCTCAGTCCATTTTTCCAAATCTAATTGCCTCTCCTCCATCTTCATCCTTTTTGATCTTTTTGCAGCTTTTGGCACTATCAGTCACCCTCTTTTCCTTGATATATTAACTTCTCTCTAGATTTTCATGACATTGCTTCCTCTTGGTTCTTTTCCTACCTGTCTGACTGCTTCTTCTCAGTCTCCTTTGCTGAATCTTCATCCATGTCATCTATATTAACCATGAGTGTCCCCCAAGGTTCTATCCTGGGCCCTCTTCTCTTCTACCTTTAACCTTTTTCAATCAGTAATTTCATCAGCTTCTATGGATTCAATTGTCATCTCTATGCTAATAATTCTTATTATTCTTAATGCTGATATTTCTATGCCAATAAATCTACTTATTCAGCCCAGCTTCTCTGCTGACCTTCAGTCTTGAATCTCCAGCTGCCTATTGAACACCTTGAACTGAATGTCTTGTGGATGTTTTAAACTTAACATACTCAAAGCTGAGCTCTTTCTCTCCCCCCACCATCCCCAAACCTTTCTGTCTTCCCAACTTTCCTATTGCTGCCAAGGGCATCACTATCTTTCCAGTCACCCAGGCTTACAGCATCCTCACTCATGCCTCCTACTCCATGCCCAATCTCTTGCCAAGTCCTTCAATTCTACCTTTACAACATCTAGAATGTATGCCCTGTTATCTCCTCTGCCACTGACACCACCTTGGTGCAGACCTTCATCATCTCTTGCCCAGCCTGTTGCAATAGCCTTCTGATTGGTCTTTCTGCCTCAAGTCTTACCCCACTTCAGTCCACCCTCTACTCAACTGTTGGCTGATCTTCCTAAAGTGTAGTCACCCCCTCCCCCACTTCCACTCAATAAATTTCAGTGTTTTCTTACCACCTCTGTTAGTCACTTCAGTTGTGTCTGATTCTTCGTGACCCTATTTGGGGTTTTCTTGGCAAAGATACTGGAGTGGTTTGCCATTTTATTCTTCAGCTCATTTTACAGATGAAGAAACTGAGGCAAACAGGGTTAAATGACTTGCCCAAGAGCTAGTAAATGTCTGAGGCTGGATTTGAACTCATGAAAATGAGTCTTCCTGACTCAGGCCCACCACTGTGCCACCTAGCCATCCAAAATCCTCTGTTTGGCATTCAAAGTTCTTCATTAACTGGCCCCCTCATATGTTTCCAGTCTTCTTACACCTTACTCCTTTTACCACCACATATTTTCTGATCCAGTGACACCAGCCTCCTTGCTGTTCCTCACAAGAGACACTCCATCTTCTGACTGAGCAGTTTCACTAGCTGTTCCCTCTTCCTGGAGTTCTCTCCTCATCTCCATCTACTGCTCTCTCTGGCTGCCTTCAAGTTCCAATTAAAATCTTACAAGACTGCACGAAGTCTTTCTTGGTCCTCTTTAATATGAGTGCTTTTCCTATTGATTATCTCCAGTTTATTATATCTCTGTACAGTTGTTTGCATATCTCCTCCCACCCCTTCCCCTCCTTAGACTGTGAGCTCCTTGAGAATAGGGGCTTTTGTTTTCCAATTTTTTTTGTATTCTCAGCCCTTAGCCCAGTACCTGGCACACAGCAGGTGCTTAATAAATGCTTGTTGACTGATTCACTGTGAACGGTTGGGTTAGCTGGTTTTGTAGCATTAGACCTGTACTTTGTTAGTGCGCTAATAGCATTTGTCATAATGCCAGTCCTAGCTGAATGGAAATACCCATCCTGTTATTTTCCAAACTGGTCCGCCTTCCTCTCAGTCCCTTCCTGAACATCTGATTTTAAATTGATGTCTTTTATATTTCCCAGTGCCTCTGCCTGCTGATCTCCTTATTGACCTTGTGAATGAAGACTCCTTAATGGACTAGAGACGTTGGCCTCATGCTGATTCCATTTCCCATTCTGATTGCTTGCTTTTTGTTCTCAAGGAAACTGAATTATAATTCATTAAGTAGGGCAACTTCTCTTTTTTTTCCTAGTACTTTCTAATCTAGTCTGTGCCCAGACTCATGATAATCTAGTTTTCCATCATCTTTATACATACCTTATTAAAGGAACCATGTCAGGTTGAAAAGAGAGCTCAGTTCCTTTTTTCAAATGCTACAGTATATGTAAGGTGTTGCAGTGTTGTACAAAGGGGAAAAGCACTTGACTCTACTTACAGTCAGAGGACCTAGGTTTGAACCCCAACCATGACATTACCAGCATGATCCTGGACAAGTGATTTCATGTCCCTGGGCCTCAGTTTGCTCATCTGTAAAATGAGAGTGTTAGACTAGTTTCCAAGTTTCCTACCTAAGATCCTTAAAATGCTGTATAAATGTTAGTTGTTTTTTATTATTACTATTTCATGTTAATAAGAATGTTTTGCACAACAGTTTTATTTGATAGCACCATTATTACAAAGAATGATATTCTAGTGGAATCATTCCCTTTTCTACTCCCCTCCTTCAGGGCTGGCAATGTGTTTTTGAAAGATTATTGTTTTTTTCCAGTCCTTGTGAATCAGGTCATTTGGAAATGGTATCATTACTCTTTTTGGAGGGCAGAGAAACTGATATACAGGTTAAATATTTGAGTAGGGAAGAAAACATCTGTTGTCATGGAAAAACCATTCTTTCCCAATCTACTGAATGAAACACATCTGTGCTGGCATTTCTGACTCTAATTTTCTTCTCCAGTGTGTGTGTGAGTGAGTGAATGAGTGTGTGTGTTTGTATGATTTCAGAAAAAAACTTGCAGAAGAAACCAAGGACTCTACCATCTGGAATTTAAACCCTCCTTCAATGTCCACTGGGTCCACCAGGCCATCCAGGTGTTCTGCAGCTGCCTGAACTCATCTTACAGGGAGCGGCACCCCAAGCAGATGTGAGCACTGCCTCACAGCTCAAACAACATGTTTGTTATTCCCATGATTGCATAGCTGAGTCATTTTCCAAGTGACCATGCTACAGAAACTGTAGAAGAACTTGGGACAACAACCCTTGGGACTGTATGCCTTGTTAAAAAGAGAGAAGGAAGAAAAAACTAGCTTTTTTCAGTGGACCCCAGATGTAAACATCGAAAGTCAGTGTAATGTCTACATTCAGCTGTCTGGTGAGTGATAAGGTTCACTGACAGGAGGAGTAAGGCCATCTTGTGAGCTGCAAGCTTCCTAACTCCTCAACACCCAGAATCACAGTCTGTTAACTTCATTCTTGGTGTTGCTACCACCCAAAGAGAGACATTTTTTGGTGTGTGCTGCTCCTAATTCTCCTCTGCCTCCTGAGCGGCTTCCTTGTAATTAAGGCAAGTAGAAGATAGCTGAAGGCAAGGTTTGGAGTGGTGTCGCCTCTTTCACTGCCCCAGATTACAGCAATCCAGCCTCTTAAGACCATGGGGGGACTCCTCCTGAAAGTTTTGCTGCTGGGTGCAAGTTTAACAGGATTTCTTTACTCCTTTGTGGATTTTTGTTTCTATGGGAAGACAGTCCTCAAGAGGCCTAATTTTGTAATCATTTTGGCTGATGATGTGGGATGGGGTGATTTGGGGGCAAATTGGGCAGAAACAAAGGATACTCCACAACTGGATAAGATGGCTTCAGAAGGGATGAGGTGAGTTTTTAAAAAGATAGCCATGCCTCTTTGTTGACACTTCTTTCGTTGCCTTATCTGGGGTCTAGGTTTAACCAAGAGCTTCTAGAGGTGCAAGGAGCAGGTCTATTTATAATAATTACATGGTGCCCCGGCTGTCATCACTGGCCATTTCATATTTGATATATGCTATCTTATGATGAATATGATCTCCTCTTTAACATAAACTATTCAATATCACACCTCCAGGCAAAAGGAACACACAGTTGGCCCATATGTTGTTGTTGTTGAGTCCTTTTGGTTGTGTCTGAGGTTTCATGACCCCATTTGGGGTTTTCTTGGCAAAGATACTGGAGTGGTTTGCTGTTTCCTTCTCCAGCTCATTTTACAGATGAGGAAACTGAGGCAAACAGGGTGAAATGACTTGTCCAGCGTCACACAGCTAGTAATTGTCTGAGGTCAGATTTGAACTCTGGTCTTCCTGACTCTACATCTGGCACTCTATCCACTGTGCCGCCAAGCTGCCCTTGGTCTGTATAAAGCATAGCTAATTGTATGTGTATTATTATAAATTATAAATATATAATATAGTTACACTACAAATATTATATATTATATAAACATATATTATAAATTATAAATATATATATTTATATTACAAATATTTAATATATAAACATATAATATGTTATAAATATTATCAATTATATAAATTATAAATAGTGACACAAATTTCAGGTGCTTTATGGTTACAAAGTACTTTATAGGCATCATCTCATTAGATCCTCAGAGCAACGCTGTGGGTTAGTAGTACAAATATTAATATCTCTATGTTACTGATGAAGAAACTAAGGCTCAGAGAAATTAAATAATGTAACCATTATTGGGGGGGAGGTCTCCCTGAAATGAGCCAACCTATTCATTAAATGCTGGTTCCAAATAACTTTTATCACTTTACCCCACAAACAAATGCTGATAACACATGTCTGAACATAAGTAACTTCTGGATTTCATTCTTGTGTGTGCATCTGATAAGCTAACTAGGTCAGAGAAAGTCAGCCTTCCTCTATTTCATTTTTTTCTAATCTGCAAAATGGGGTTGATAAAGGCTACCTACTCAGTACAGCATAGTGAGTCTTCCTAGAGGTGCTGACTTATTAATTCTTTAAATCCCTAGCAGATTATTAGATAAATACTGAAGAGAATACTTAAAGCAGTAGTCATTTAGGCCTGTTTGTTCTTTTCAAGTGTTTACCTCTGAGATCCTCCCAACCAAAACCAAAGTGAGACCTAGGGAGGGCCCTTTATGCAAATACTATTTTGTTGATCTCTTATTTTTTTCTCCAACAAAGTGTTCAAACCACAGTGGTCACATGATGGAAGTAAGAGGTGACTGATTCGTGGTAATCTATCTCAAACTTTGTGTTTTGTTTTTTGTTTTTTTACTAATTGGTTGATATTCAGTTAAACTTACCAAGCATTTTTAAAAGTACCTGCTACGTGGTGCTATGTTATGCTACTATGCCCTAGGCACTGTGCTGTTTTGGTGAGAAAAACAAATCTTAAAAAAGGAAACAGTCCTTTCACTTAAGGAATTTATATTCTAATGGGGAGATAAAATATACATAAATATAATTAAAACCAAGTAATTTAAAGAGGTGAGAATGTTCAAAGCCCCTGAGAGATGTGGTTCAAGAAAGTCCTCATTTATAATGTAGCACCTAAAATGTACTTTGAAGGAAGCTAGTGCTTCTATCAAGTGTGGAGGTGAGGAGGAGGCTTTTCTTTGTTTTTGTTTTTGTATTTTATCTTAGAAGCCCTTGACTATATTTGAGTGGGGAATGGTAGTGACATAATCTAATCTGTGTTTTAGGAACCTAAACTGGTATCTGTATGGAGGATAGACTGGAAAGGGGAGGGATTGGGAACAGAGACCAATTTGGTGGCTGTCACAATAATCTGGGGGAGAGGGGATGAAGACCTGAATTAGGGTAGAGGCTGTGAGAGTAGAGAGGTCATGACAGGTATATGAAAAACATGCTTCAAGGACTGCCATCATTACTCACTTTTGCTAGTCATTCTCAATTCTCAAATACTGATAGTTTTAGGGAAATATCAGGCTTTACTGCATCTTGCTTGCTTATGAAATTGTGAAAACTGATTTGAGAGTATTTAATAAGCTCTTTTTTTTTCTGTCAGCAAATGCAGAAAATAGCAAGTATAACATTAATTATACTACAAATTATTGCATTTTCAAAACATTTTGGCATTTTTGCATAATAAAAGGTTAAAATAGCCCAGGCGTAAGAAGAAGCCATGTGTACTAGAGCAGAAGGTGTTGCTCCTTCACCCAAAGAAGGTGGCCCAGGAATTCAGTGGCCCTGACCTCCTCTCATCCTCCAGCACAGGATGGGTTCTATTCTTGTCTTCATTAGGGATGGGGAGGGAATAAAGGAGTGGAAGAAGGGAGGGACAATGACTTCCTCCTTTGAATTTGGGGAGAAAGTTCAGGATCCTTGGATTTTTCCTAGCTGGAGTGGCTTTGTCTTCATACCCCATGGAGCACTCCTGTTTTTCTGCCTCCCTGGACTTCTTCCTATACACCAATCTCTTCATCTTCCCAGGTATTCTGTCATGTTGTCCCACTCTTTTTAGTTAAATCTTCCAGTGTTGCCATGATCTTTCTTATCAAAGATCCTGAGTAGCTGTGGCCACTCCTGTCATCTTAGGGGTACCAGACATGGCCTAGGGAGGTCAGAGGCTAAACAATCAATCAGTAGCAATAACTCACATTTATGTTGCATAGTAAGAAACACTTTCATGGAACCAGAGAGCTAGAAGGAATCTTAAAGGTTTTCTAGTCTCCCTTCTTCATTTTACAAATGAGAAAACTCAGGTCCAAACAGGTTAAGTGACTTCCCTTAAATTAGTAAGAACTTAAACCCAGGTCTTCTGACTTTAAAAGCCAGTGCCTTTTGAACTAAACCCATAGTCAACTTCACAACTCTATTAAAAGGAGGGAAGGGCATTATTATAGACATTTTACAACTAAGGAAACAGAAGAAAACTGCCTACTCTCCTAAGTGCCTATTACATGCCAGGCATTGTGCTAAGTGCTAAGGATATAAAAAGTCTCAGTAGGCCAGTGAATATGTACAAACAAGCTATATACAGAATAAAAAGGAATTAATTAAAAGAGGGAAGGTACTAGAATTAAGATAGGTTGGGAAAGGCTTCCTGTAGAAGATAAGATTTTAATTGGATCTTAAAGGAAACCAGGGAAGCCAGTAGGTGGAGATGAAGGGGGGGAGTATTCCATGCATGGAATATAGCCAGAGAAAATGCCTGGAACAGAGGAACGAGTATCTTGTTCATGGAATAGCAAGGAGGTCAGTGTCACTGGATTAAAGAGTACATGGCAAGGGAGTAAGGTGTAAGAAGACTGGAAAGGTGGAAGGGGCCTCGGTCATGAAGGACTTTGAAGACCAAAGGATTTTGTATTTGATCTTGGAGGTGATAGGGAGTCTCTGGAGCTAGTTGAGTAGAGGGGCGACATGGGATTTTAGGAAAATCATTTTGGTGGCTGAATTAAGGATAGGTTGGAATGGGTAGGGACTTGAGGCAGGCAGACCCATCAGCAGGTACTGCAATAGTCTAGACATGAGATGATGAGGGTTTGTACCAGAGTGGTGACAATGTCAGAGGAGAGAAAAGGCCATGTTCAGGAGATAATGAAAAGGTGAAATCAACAGGCCTTGGCAACAAATTGGATATGAGAGCTGAAAGATAATGAGGAGCGAAGAATGACACCTAGGCTGTAAGCCTGGGGAGCCTGGAGGATGGTGTTGCCCTAAGCCAAAAGTAGTAGGGATGTTAGAAAGTGGGAAGTGTTTAGGGAGAAAGGTCTAAGTTTAGTTTTGGATATGTGGGATTTAAGATATCTACTGGACACAATTTCAAGATGTCTGAAAGGCAGTTGGAGATGCAAGATATAAAGACGTGGGCTAAGGACTAGAATTTGACTAGATGATACTGGTCAGGGATGTATGGGAGAAGTGGTATTTGAGACTGGGTCTATGTACATGACACTACTGGATAATATTAACAACTGATATTTAGATTCTGGAAACATACTAACCTCTTCCTACTCACTCCAGTTCCTTCTTTTAGAAATATTTTTAAAATTGTATTTTCTCATTTTGTCCCAAGTCTTTCATCTCACCTGAATAGAAAACCTTGTTGGTACTTGAGCATTGGCCTAGCCTGAAATCCTTTTAACATCTGTTTCAAAGACCTAGCCAGTTTCTAAAAAGAAACAAAGTCAGAATTCAAGGAAGAATTCTGTTTTCTTTAAAGATTAAAAAATAGGATGGTGATCTGAGAGAGTGCCTTTAACTAGTTTAGGGAAATGATTTTACCGGGGCACCTGACAGTCAAGTGACTATTATCTTGTTTGATAAATCAAAATTATTGCCTAGACTTCATCCTCCTATTTAATCTTGATTATGAAATGTTGATTTTGTTCTCAAATACTGTACATTGAAAATGGCCTGGGCAGAGAGATTTTCAAAGACAGGGTGGATTTGCATCCTCTTAGATTTTTTCTCTAAAAATGCTTAGAACAATCTAATTAATTAATTAATTAATTAATTAATTAGTTCCTGACAGATTTGTGTCCAAAATGCAGAGCACAGAATTTTTCTTACACAATACAATGCTTAAAATTTGCAAATAGCTTTATATGAAGCATCTTAAGTCATATTTGACTTTTATGAATATTTGCAAATGGTTTTATGTAAAGCATCTCACGTCAATCCTGTGAAGTAGGTACTGCAAGTTTTATCAGTGTCATTTACAGATGGAGAAACTGAGGCTCAGGAAGTTAAATGACTTGCCCAGAGTCATAGCTCATAAGTGTTAGAGCCTGTTTTCATCACTGTAGGTCTAGCTCTCCATTACCTATTCTCTGTAGCCTCTCAAACCATTTGCTAAATTGAAAATGTCAATCCATTCTAAGAATT